TTGATACTAATTGTATGTTTTATAATAATGGATGGTAAAGAAATGATTGTCATGGTCATGGAAAGGAAATTGACAAGAAGGTATGATTCTTATGGATTTTTTGTGTTAAACAAATGATGTAATACAATTCATGATATTTTGTTAATCTGCCACTAAATAAATATTTTGGTTAAGTAGAAAGAAACATGTTATTTTTTTAATTGAGAAAGATTTTTACTTGAAAGATCCACTTGTATGTCCAATCAATTTTTTCCATCATGAATTTATGCTTGAACTATTAAATCACATTTGAAGTTTTTGATGTTATATTTTTAATATTTATGCAAGATGACAAATTAAAAGAATGAAGTAGTAGATTCTATAGTTCACAACCGCATGGATTTTAGTTCCATAGAAAGTTTGATTGATGCAAATATAAAATATGTGGAGTTATCACATTTTTCTTTTGTTTATCTTATTATTTGCTTAATTTTTTTATTGAAGAACCATTATTTTTTGTTTTCCTTTTGTTATTTGTTTATGTTATTAAAGTCAATTTTTATGTTTTCTTTTATTTCAATAATAATTTTATTGTTAAGAAATAATATTCAATCTATATTGCGATCAGTGTTCTTTGTTTATTAATGGTGATGGTTTATATTGTAAGAAACCAAAATATTAATCTAGTGGATTTGATTTGTGTTAACAATAATAGCCTAATGAAATCACGATATTTTGCTAATTACCACTAAATAAATATTTTGATCTAATAGACATTCAATAAATAGTTTGGCCAAAAAACATATGTATATCTTTTATAAAAATGAGACACAAACACAACCTAATAGAATGCAATTTAATATGGCTTCACTTCTTAATCCAGATTTGGTTTTCTAATTAAATCCATTTTTACAAGTATAGTTCTAAAACCTAAATGAGTTTGTGTGATTTTTTTGTCTTTTATATTGTTATATTCACGCACAAGAAATCTTAAGCCAGCCTTAAAACCCTACAAACAGTGTCATATTGGTGATTTTAGTTAGGCTGACGAAAAAGGTATCATTTTGGAGATGTTGCTTCGTCAATGGTTTCACTTTCGGAGCATTGATTCGATTCTAATGTCGTATTGTTATTACAAACAATATTTATATTTTTCTCAGACTAATCAATTACTTCACTTTTATAATTCATTACATTTTCTAAAACGAGGACGCGTTGCCGTAAAATCGGCCGGAAAATCGTTGATCGGTGACTGACCGTGGCGAATTGGACCTGATCGGCATGGTTAAGGCGGTGAAGCGATTTTATTCCGGATAAGCCGCGTAACTGAAGAAATCGGCGCTTAAATGTCTAAGACGATTTAGATCTTCTTCGATTTGTTTAAAAGTCATGAAAACCAATTTTTTTCCTAGAAATCTCTAAATAGTGATAGTTTTCAACCTCAAATGAAAAGCAAATCTGAAATTCGAGACTGAGTAGAATGAATCTTAACTGTACATAATCTTGCTTGAGTGTTTGAGCTAAGACCTTTCTGCAAAATTCAATCGTAAAATCTTGAAGATGGCTGCGTATTAGGTCTGGAAACCGTAAAAGAAGGTTGAAGACAAGGGTGTATTGGTCATTGAAGTGCATTAAAGATAAAAATAATAAAATGTCCAAAAAGGAAGTGCCCTCACTCGTATTAGGCTCATACCACTAGACGAGTCCAACGAGCTTTGTACTAAAGGCAAATCTTATATATTAAAACAGAAGTCATGACTTGACTTAATGTATGATTTTTAAAAAAAAAAAGACTATTACTAGAAATTCATGTTACATTAACTCTCTAAAAATATTATTATTATTATTATTATATCTTATGAAAAATCATATCTATAATAACAAATATACTGCTTAACAATTTGGTTTTGGTAAATTACTCTACATCTTTCAACTTAGTCACGAGAAATATGTCAATAGATATAAGTCTAGGAATCTTCTATTATTTCTTAATATTTGTGAAATGATCCAAATTATTATAAAATTGGATAGTATACATAATTAAATTATATTTATTTATTGATAAATTTTACTTCCTTCGTTTCTTAATATAAGATGTTTTGGATCATTTCACAAATATTAAGAAATTTACATTCTTTTATAAAAGTATTTTAAAGATATAATTTTAAAATAATTCAATCAATTATTAAAAAAAATAGTAAAATTTTAGTGGTTGAACAGTTTCCAATAAATTTAAAAGTAACCTTAAAACCTCACAATATACCTTAAAATTTTAAAACATCTTATATTTTGAAACAAAATAAATCTTTTAAAACATCATCTAATTTGAAATGGAGGAAGTATTATATAATTTCAAATATTTTCATATTAAAATACCCGCACGGTTGTGCGGGTCGAGATCTAGTTTATACTATATATACATGCTTACTGTAATTTGCAAGATAAAGGTTTTACACTTAACTAATCAAAATTTGTTATTTTGAAATTTAGTATCGATGTTGTATCTTTAATGAACTCTAAATTTTGACCCGCGCTTGAAAGCGCGGAAATTTTTTATAACTAAAATTTATGTAATTGGGTTATGTCTTAATTTAAAGAATGTTTTGGTATAAATCAGTTTATCAAAATTTGTGGTGACGATTTTTTTCATTACTTTTTAGTTTCAGTTTTTTATTTTTAGATTTTGGTTTTTAGTTTTTAAGTTTCTATTTTTGATTTTCAGCTTTTGTTTGGGTTTTTAATTTTTAGATTCGCTGAGTTAGTTTGAACTGATATTACCAACAAACAAATTTTAAGTAATCGAACATCTAATTTAAAACTAAAAAGATGACAAAAAAATTATAAATAAAATTGCAATAGTTTATTTTGTAAATAAACAAAAGCAAAAACTATAACAATATGTTATCCAGAACAATGCGTTTTAAGCTTTTGGTTTGGGTTTTAGTTTTTAGAATTGGTTTTTGGTTTTGCTTTACATTTTTTTTTTAAATTAGTAAATTATTTCAGAAAAATAAAATAATAAATTATTTAAAAGTTACCATTGAAATTTATCAAAAAAAGTGATTGTTATTTAAAATAAAAAATACAATAACATGTTTTAAAGTACATGATTTAAATAAATGATTAATAATAGACAATTTTGTTTTGTTAAAAATATTAAATACATTTGGGCCTGAAAATAATAATTGATTTTTTGATCCATTAAAATAGAAATTTTATTCAATGTTTTTGGAGTTTTTCCTTAATAGTAAGCCTAAAAATCAAACCATATAATTTGTTCTAAAAACAAAAGTAAGCCCAAGACTATATCCCATAAATAACCATCGGTTTAATTTAAGTAATGCGGTTCAATTAACTATATGGCTTGTTGTAACATTCTAGAAAGAGTCCAAATTTAAATGACAATTTGTATTAATAGATAAAAAAGAAAGATTCTATTTTGATAGAGTAGATTTCCATTGGTTTCATATAATTATTAAAATTCCATTTTTTAAAGAAATTGTTAAGATGCTAAATGGTATATTACGATTTCCACATTAATATAATTAGTAGATTTCCATATTCCATATTTTGATAATATATATTCTTTTAGAACATTCCATATTTGTAGGAGAAAATATGTGTTTTTGGTAGACACATCGATATCTGCCGTATTTTGAAGATATTTTACATTAAGGTCGCCATGTTACATTAATTGTGTTGGTTTAATTTAAGTAATGCAGTTCAATCAATTATAAGACTTATATTATTTGTAATACTATAGAAAGGGTCCAAATTTAAATGACAACTTGTATCAGTAGCTAAAAAGAATGTCTCTATTTTAATAGAATAGATGTATTATATGTATAAAATATGATATTATATATATAAAGTACAAAAAATTCCTCCCCGCGTACACCCTGATTTTTTCCCGATTTTCTAATAAATCGCTAGGCCCGTATATGTCGCACGCGTAGCGCCTAACGAGTTTCCGAACAAGACATTTTATATACTTACATTTTTAAATATTTAATTATATTTATATTATTTTATAATTAATGAATAAAATATAAACTAACATAAGAATTACTAAACGAACATAATATAGTTAAAGTTGTTAATATAATATTAACATAATTTTGTATGTATCACTATTATTTTATTTTTAACAAAAAAAGATAGTCATGCTATATGATTTAGAAAAATATAAATTATATATTTACATTAATTTACAAAATTAATATTATAAAAGAAGTAGTAAAAATTCATGAAAATTTATACCAATTTTAAAAAGTTATGTTCAAATTTGAAAATAATGTCTATATCTATTTTCACTATCCACATAACTTTTAAAATCTAGCAACTCTTAAAATTTACAAATTCTGTAACATCCCGAGTTGTGATATATAGAAAGACTTAAGATGATTGATTTGACTACGTATGTCACCAAAGTGCACTTACCTTTTCAGGAGCATATCCACAGAGAACTCTAGAGTTAAGCGTACTTGAGCTGGAGTAGTCAAAAGATGGGTGACCTATCGGAAAGTGATTTGTGATATCGTGTAAGTGAGGCTAAAACACGGGAAAAGATCGGGTGGTGATTGCAGGGTCAGTAAACATGACTATAGAGCCTTGGAAAATTAAGGAATCGATCGTTAGAATGGGATAGAGCCCACGGACCGAGAGAACGGGCATGGGTGGCCCATTAACCGTGGGCGATCCAGACGTTACAAATTCATTTCCCAGTAACCTCCCCATAATTTTAACATATCTTTTAGACAAATAACCCCCCCCCCCCTCCTCCACCGGCGCAAAAAAATTATGATCAGTGTGTCATCAGGTAACCGTAGTTAAATGACAAATTCCCGCATCAATGTGTTTTAGTAGAGATCATGCTTTTAGTATGGAATAACTGAATCAGCATGAAAGAAAAAAAAAACTTACAAATATTAATAAGTTCTTCAAGTTTTAAGTCACTACCATACGAGATAATATTCATATCGATCTATATAATAGATCAACACAATAACATACATATATATATGTCTTCATCAACACGTTTTGCAATCCCAGCTTGTATCGTTTTTGTTTGCTTTTTTGGTCTACACAAATGTAAGCATAGGCATATATATATTATCATGACAATAATATGATCACTATTGTAATCTTCATAACATTTTCAGAATGGTATAATTAGCTTTCTATCTTATTTAGGTGAGAACGTGGATGGTTTTGCGCGGAACAAGATATATATACCACCGTGCATTGGATTGCATTGCCACGGTATTAGCTTTAGACCCAGCTGTTATTGTTGTGTCGGAAAAGCGAAGTTCTGTTCATCAATCAAAGAAGAATGTTGGCATGAATGTGCCATCCTTAATCCGCGATCTTCTTCTTCTACTAAAAGTTAATAAACTCTCCAAGTACGCTTAACTCTAGAGTTCTCAAATACGTACTTGTAACAAATCACTTGTATATATTATAATATATGATAATTTGAGAGAGATAATCAAATAGAAAGTTACAAGTACGCTTAACTTTCTATTTGATTATCTCTCTCAAATTATCATATATTATAATATACCACTCCAAAAATTTGTGACAATAAAACGGTTTACAAGCTTAAACATCGAGAGAAACTTGTCAAGAAAGACATTTTTATTACGTTAAAAAGTAAGAAACGAAGATTAAAAGAAAAAACATTGAGGGCTCATGGAAGTTTAGGGTGGCCGGAAGATTTTCCAGTGAGATTTTCCGGAGGCTTAAAGAATTTAGAAGGGTTGTGTTTAGTGAACCAAGTAGTGTACAGAAACTGCTTGTGAGGACCAACATGGTTACATATTAGCTTCAGCTTCTGTCTCTGTCGCATCCACCTTAATATTATCTTCATGTGCCGCTTGCTCGTTAACCCTCTTAATCCCACTTCCTGTTCAATTTTATTTTATTATAACAATAATCAGATGAAAGCTAATTCTGTATTGATGTATGAAAAGAAAGTAACTTGTAATGTAAGAAAGAGTATACCTTGACACGATCCCAAGTTTCAGCAATGGTGAGAGGTCCATGCTCCTTCAGAACATCAAAGATCACTCGGGTGATCGTCTGAGTTTGTTCTGGTGGTGTGTTCAGCTCGATGGGTTTCATCTTAGGTTTAGGTTTCGTTGCGAAATGCCTTGTTAACAACCCAACTACATTTTGATTGCTTCTGTTCCAAGGCATCACGTTTCGCAACATTTCTCAGCTATTTCTTCACTTATGTTTTCTCAGCAGCTACAAAAACAAGAACACTTTTAACTCAAATCACTATCACGACAGATTCATGTTAAGACAGAATCAAAAAATCATGATCTTGAGTCAACAGAGTAAGAAACAAAACTTTTCAAGTTACCGAGTCTCAGCTAGACATTTGATCGAACAGCTTATGTGCGTTACGAGCTATGTAATGTATTAACGGCTACAGAGATTACAAAAAGAAGAGAGCAAAAACTCACACGATGGAAACAAGGTGGAAGCCGAAGCAGCCGAGTTTCTAGAGATTGAGACTAACGAGAGAGCTTTGACTCTGTAATGGTAGTACCCAAACAAATGCCACTACTAAACCAAGTAACGCAACTATATAAGTAAGAAGCATCATTTATATATATCTACATAATACCCCCTGATTTTAATCAAAATTTGTATCTTCTACTAAAAAAAGATTGTAACATTCAACAGAACCCCCTGGTCTCTGGAGTTGAAATGATTGATTGATAATTTTGTGGTGAATATATACACAAAAGCCCCTGATTCTACTCAAATGTTTTTTAACTTTCTACAGAAATCCCCATGATAGATAATTTTAACGGTGCAAATTTTCTTGTGGGTTTACAACTTTCTATAAAGAGCTAAAGAAACTAAAGGAGATCCTCAAATCCATCAGTGTGATACAACAACACTAAGCCATAAAAATGGCTTTGAAAATCAAAAGTTGAGCTTGAGTAAAAGAAGCAGTGAGTGTTTCTTCATGTAAAGTTCATGCACTTGCGATTACCCTTATAAATCAAATCAACGACGTTTGTTGTTGCTGTGCCTATTACTCTTCTTCTTTCTACTGCTTCTTCTGTCATCATCAGACTCAGACTCAGAATCTGATTCTGAATCAGATGACTCCTCATCAGATGAAGAAGAAGAGCTGTATTTCTTCCTCCTTCTACTTTCCTTCCTCTGCTTTGGCTTCTTCTTGCTCTTCCTCTTACTCCTTCTCCTCCTCCTTTCCTCCTCTGACTCAGACGAAGAACTGTACTCTGAACCAGATGATTCAGATCCATCACTACTCTCAAACACAGAGGCTTCACTATCACTCCCAGACTCAGACTTCGACCTGTGCTTTCTCTTGGACTTCCTCTCACCTTCTTCTTCTTTCCCATATACCACCTCTACCTTCTCATCATCACCATCAAGATCATCAACAGAAGGCTTCATTCTCAGCTTAGGATTCTTAAGCTGCTGAGTCCTCGATGGCCTCGAGACATAAACCCTCTCGTTCTTACACTCATAAGTCCAATGCCCTGTCTGAAAACACTTCTGACACTGAGAAGCTCCTCCAACAACAGCAGAAGCAGACATAGTCTTGTCTTTCCTTTCACCAAGCCTGACAGCTTTCTCAGTACTCATCAAATACATCTGCCTCTTGGCCTCCCTCTTCTCCTGCCATCTGCTAGGACCTTCTTCCTTTTGCCCATAAGCGTTGACGTTTCGTGCAGCAGCGGTGGCAGCTCGCTCGGCTTGTGTACGGCTAAGTCCTTTGGCAGCAGTGAGAGTAGCAGCTTTGATTCTGTCGGCTGCAACTTGTGCTTTCTCTTCCTTTGCTTCAGACATGATTCTTAATCCTCTGCAATCAAATGAAACACAACAAAACGTATGAGATGTGAGCGAAAGTTTGTATCTTTAACAAATGAATTAAGTAAAAAATCCCCAAATCTCGTTAAACCCTAAGCAATAGCTTTCAAAATTAGGGTTTCTGATAATCTAAAACATGATTCTTGATCCTCTGCATTACAAATTGAAACACAATCAAACGTATCAGATGGAAAGGAAAGTTTGTATCTTTAACAAATATAATTAAACCCTAAGCATAGCCTTCCAAATTAGGGTTTCTACTTCCGTGTAACTAAGCTCTGTTATCTAAAAACATGATTCTTAATCCTCTGCAATCAAATTGAAACACAACCAAACGTATCAGATGAAAGCTAAAGTTTGTATCTTTAACAAATCTAAATAAACCCTAAAGCAGGAGCATTCAAAAATTAGGGTTTATACTTGCGTGTATCTATTAGGTTAATTCCAGGATCTACACAAAGCCTTACTTAGGAAAAATAATAAAAGGAAAACTTACAATTAGAAAGGAGAGCACGACGAGAAGAGTAAGATGGAAGCAGCGTTTGCTTGGGAGGGATTAGTGGAGAGGATTATCGAGTCTGAGAGACGAGAGAGAGAGTAGGAAGGCGACGGCGCTTCAAAGTTAACGAGGAGGAAGAAGAAACAGACTTAAGTATTGGGCCCAAATATTTTTTTTTTAATTTAACAAACAAGAAAAACAGAATACTAATTTATTTTGTTTTATTTTATAAAATTCAGGACTTTTTTACATATACTTTCATCTATTTTTTGTCTATTTTGATAAAATGATTTTTTTAACAAAATTATTCGTAGAGGAATCCAAATTGATTTGATTAAATCATTAATTTTCTTAAACTGATGTATTTTGAAGTAAATGGTAAATCCATCACCTAATTAAAATAGGAAAATAGTTCAGTCAAGGGCTTTTTGTTTCACCATGTGTCATTTTCATCCATCCACAATCAATCCAGATAATTCGTTTAAATTTTATGAGACTGTTTGTTTGTCTAGTTCATCTAGTTGTATCATCTAAATGGATCTTATGTTTTGTATATTTATCTCAATGTCCATCCCTATGAGTTTATCAAGCAAATTACTAAAATACTTTGTCTGGATTTAATCATATCTTTGATGTTAATTTTAACTATATCAACTTTTATTATTTAGTCTAAATATATGTACACTGAAAATATTTTAAAATTAGCATTTTGACATTCATAAATTATTATTTCGTATAGTTTAATAAAATTTTATTTAGAATTGTATTAAATTTTTACTACAATAATAACTGCTAATAAAAAAAAATTGATAAACATATACTTTAAAAACTTTAAAGTTTCAAACTAAAAGAGTGTTATAATAAACTGATTATAATTTTCAGATAAATATATCTAAAATTAGTTTGCATTTTTTTGTGGATAACGTGATTTTGATTTTTGACGGAAATTGTGGTTTTCTGGTTTTGGCCAGGAAAACACGATTTCTGGTTAGAGGCAGAAAAACATGATTTATGCTTTTCACCGAGAAACCATAATATTTTGATTGAAACGGAAAACGCAATTTTTTTTTATTTTGGCGGGAAAATCAATATTATGTTAGCAGAAAATCATTTTTCCGCCAAAATCAATATTATGTTTTCAAACGGAAAACACAATTTTTTTCTATGTTAGCAGAAAACATAATATTGATTTTGGCTGGAAAATGATTTTCTAGATTTACATGAAAACAAGATTTTTCGATTTTGACGGGAAAATAAGATTTTCAGTTATGGTTGAAAAAATGAGATTTTTCGGTTTGGGGGGGGAATCAGATTTTTTGTTTTAGCGAAAAATGAGATTTTTCAGTTTATCGGGAAGAAGATTTTTTGATTTTGGTGGGAAAATGCGGCAGAAAAATATATTTTGTATTTTTGGCAGAAAAAAAAAGTTTTTCACAGAATGAAAAATGAGTTTTTGCGGTTTCGATAGGAAAATGCATTTTCCAGTTTTGTCAATAAAGTGTATTTTTGTGATTTTGGCGGAAAATACATTTTTGTAGTCTTGATGGGAAAGTGCGTGTTTACGATTTTGGTGGAAAATGTATATTTGTGATTTTGGTGAAAAAAATATATTTTGTGATTTTGGCAGGAAAATGTGCCTCGTGAAAATGCGTCGCGAAAATGCATTTTAATGTTTTGGTGGAAAATGTGTGTCTGTGGTTTTGTCGTTTTCGTGAGTGACAAAATGATATTAGATTAGGTTTGAAATTTCTGAATTAAATCAGAGATATAATAGACATTAGACCATTTGATGAAACCATCTCCCTTCATCCAGATGGTTTAATTTGGATTAGTCAATTGTTTTTCAAAATTAAGTCTAAATTTTGGAAACTCTTATCTAGATGATTTGTACTTTTAATATTTAAACAAACAAAACTTTCATCTCCATTGAGATGAATCATCTAGATGATAAAAATAATCGTGTTTTGAAAACATGGGTTAAAATCTAGCATAGACATAAAATTCTGATGAAAAAAAAATGAAGTGTTTATTATATAAATTGATACGCCATGCTTCATATAAGATCGCAATCCCAAACTAACATTGACATACTGCATATATACGGTAAGAGTGTTGATATTTAATTCCTCTACGTTTTGATTGTTTTAGTTTTATTTTGAAGAACCGAAGTGTGTATTATCACAATCTCCAACATAAGAATGGGTTTTGAATGTTAACTAAAGATTGATCTATATGTCCGTGCGGATGTTAAATTTTACATTTTTATAAATTAATATTTTGTTTACATAATTAAAATTATATATTTTGTATCATTATATAATTAATTGAATATTTTTAGACCATATACATCAGAACTGAATCTAAATCAAATTGGATAATATGATTACTTTTAGTTATTTGGTTATTTTTAGTTTGGATTTAAAATACCCAAATCGAAACGGTTAATATTACTATTTCGGTGCAAATATCTGGTCATGTTTCGACTACATAAGTTTTTGAATATGTTCAAATTTTCATACATCAAAACCGAATCAATACAAATTTCATATTAAAACAAGACAATAAATAAAATGGTTACAATAAAAAGTGATTATTAACAAAAGATACTAAATGAAGTGATTATTTAGAAAAACCAATAAATAAAGTGATTAAAATCAATTAAAAGTGAAATGAAATCTGTAAACACTTAATATAATAAGATTTTACTTAATAAATAAAGAACAAAAATTTTAATTATGGGCCGAAGGTAATTTGGCCCATTCGGGTTCACGAAAAGAGCCAAACCCTAGCATATAAGCTAAACTTCTGACTGCTTTATCCCCTCTTTGCACCTCTTTTCTCTCTTCCCTTCGTTCCCCTCTACGGTCAGTCCGTTTCTTCTTTCTTTTATATTCTCAATAATTACATGTTCCAAGTCTCTTTTTTCGATCTATGATGTTTATTTGTACTTGATTGTTGTGATTACTACAGTTTTTTTATTGTTGTAATCTGTCTGTTCTTTTTCCTGTCGTTTCTTTTTTGTTTTCTTAGACCAGACCGTTTCTTAAGATCTGGTCTAAGAAATCATTTAAAGATGTAGCTTTGACACGATCTAAACATACTTCTTTATTGTAATCTTGATATTATAGAAGTAATAGTGTGAATCATGTTTTTTTATTGCCTAGGATATAACTGAGTTTATGAA